CGGCTGCTGCTATGATTTTGTCTGGTTTATGAGCTCGTTGCTGTCCTAATTTAGGATCTTCTTTTTAATAAATTTTTGAAAATGTTAACAAAGAGAGAGAAAGGGGGCCTGGTGAGGGTGATTGCCCTAGGGCCCATGCTGGCTCTCGACGTTCCTGTATATATACTATTGATTGAATACCAATCTATAGCCACAGAGTGATACATTCCAAACCACTGGAATCACGACAAGAAAGCAAGCAACACTAAATTGGACAAACCTTTTCCTCCACCTGAAGAAGCCCAAAGGGCAACACCCCTAGTCTTGGAATGATGGGATTGTGTATGCCTTATTCAGCCAAAGGAAACAGAACTCATCTGGTCAGGAATTATAAACATTCATCCTCACTCCCCAACCATATGGGCAAGGAGCATTCACTTGCCCCTGAGATTATGGGGAGGTCATGGAAAAATTGTGCTCAATCAAGGACCCAGGATGGAACTACTCTACATTCGGAATTATGAGGAGATAGTGGACCCCCTTCCATGAACAATGTACTGACCGATATTGATCAAAAAGAAGGGTCATGCACACCTCAACTTTGAAAAGCAACACCCCCAGGCTTGGAATGATAGGATAGTGTATGCCTTATTCAGCCAAAGGAAACAGAACTCATTTGTCAACTGTATAAACCGTTAAATCATCTAGGCTGTTTGTCAACTGTATAGGACTTTAGAGAGTCTAAGCTATTTGTCAACTGTGTAGGACTTTAGAGAGTCTAAGCTATTTGTCAGCTGTATAGGACTTTAGAGAGTCTAAGCTATTTTTCAACTGTGTAGGACTTTAGAGAGTCTAAGCTATTTGTCAACTGTATAGGACTTTAGAGAGTCTAAGCTATTTGTCAACTGTATAGGACTTTAGATAATCTAGACTATTTGTCAACTGTATAGGACTTTAGAGAGTCTAAGCTATTTGTCAGCTGTATAGGACTTTAGAGAGTCTAAGCTATTTGTCAACTGTATAGGACTTTAGATAATCTAGACTATTTGTCAGCTGTATAGGACTTTAGAGAGTCTAAGCTATTTGCCAACTGTGTAGGACTTCAGAGAGTCTAAGCTATTTGTCAACTGTATAGGACTTTAGAGAGTCTAAGCTATTTGTCAACTGTATTGGACTTTAGAGAGTCTAAGCTATTTGTCAACTGTGTAGGACTTTAGAGAGTCTAAGCTATTTGTCAACTGTATAGGACTTTAGAGAGTCTAAGCTATTTGTCAACTGTATAGGACTTTAGATAATTTAGAGAGTCTAAGCTATTTGTCAACTGTATAGGACTTTAGAGAGTCTAAGCTATTTGTCAACTGTATAGGACTTTAGATAGTCTCAGCTATTTGTCAACTTTATAGGACTTTAGAGAGGCTAAGCTATTTGTCAA